CATCAGTGTAATCATGATTATTAGCTACAGGCCTCTTGCATCAGAGAACATATGCGTCTAAGGAGATGAACGTTAATAATGATTACACAAGAAGACCACAGATGCATCAGGCCAAAAGAGTTTTTTGTTTTGTTTTGTTTAGCCAAACAGATGCATCATGCAAGTCCACATGCAAAAACTCATGCTCCATTTACCTCCAGTAATCAAGACTGCCTTTAGCCATGGAAGCTCTATCAGGCTTGGCATAGCTAACATCCATTGTCCTCTCTCCCAAAGATTTGCCAATCTTTTTTTTCCTTCATTTGGGGCAGGTATGCAGGGGCTGGATGGCTCCTTGTATCAGTGAGACTGTTAAATAACTGTTACACTGAAACTCCTCCACTGACCAGGAAGTTAGACTAGATGATCTCTAAGATACCTCCTACATGAATGTTTTTATGAATTAATGTAACCAAATCTTGAATATTTTCACATTAAGAGCAAAGTATCTAACCTTGACACACATATGCAGTCTTTAAAAAACACTATAGATATGTACACACACACACACACGCACACACACATGCACAGAGACAAAAACAGAAAAAGTACTTTTTAATTAGTGGCATATCTTGGTGGAAGTCCCTACTGTGTGTGGGATTTTCCCTTTAGCTGTGTGCATGTGTGTGTGTAGCCTTAACAGATCCAGAGTGCCCATAACTGAGTTTGTTGCTGCATACAGCATTTTAACACTGGTATTCATATGCATTATATTTAGGGTTGCCAGATCAAAAACTAGAGTGGGCTCCTGTGCCTTAATGGCAATGTAGAAGAGGGCATTTTAGCAGGTAACAAACAACACCTGTAGCAATTCCCTCTTCTATACAACCATTAAAAGTACAGGAGTAGTGTCCAATCTTTATGGTGCCAACCCTAGATATGTACCATCTTTACTTATAACATTGGGCCAATGTGGTTTGAGCACTGGACTAGGACACTGGGAAACCAGGGTTCGAATCCTGGCTCGGCAATGGAAACCCACTGGGTGACCTGGGGGAAGCCACAGTCTCTCAGCCTCAGAGGATGGCAATGACAAATCTCTGTACAAATCCTGCCAAGAAAACCCAGGGACCGGGTCACCATAAGTTGGAAACAACTTGAACGCACCTGACAACAACAACTACTCATTATAATATTATGCCAACTATCAATATTTGTCTGTTTTCAAGTGTTGTGTAACATATCCTTTATTGTAACCACCTTGAGGAGGCCTTTGGGCTCTGAAAGGCAGCATGTAAATACTTAGCTCACCTTGGCAAATATGCCCAGTGAGGTGGGCTTCCTTCAACGGCTTTCTGGGAAAGCCAACCCAGACATGATCAGCCAGGGAGAATCGGAACCAGACAGCTACAGATCTGCCAAAACAGAGCCTGGAACTCAGATGGGAAGAAGATTCCTGGGAAACCACAATGCATCTAAGATATCCTGACCATCACACTCAACCAGTAGGCAAGATTGAAGCATGGCTCCCATCTCTAGCTCTTGCGTTTATTTCTACCACGTTTCAGGGCAACCTTCCAGATGCTTTGGACTGCAGCTCCCACAAACCTCGCCCACTGGGCATCTCAGCCAAGGCTTCTGGGGGCTGAAGTCCATCTGGAGACACAAAGGTTCCCAGTTTCAGCAGATGCGTTGCTGTGAAGGGGCACCAACTGACACTCCTTGGCAAGAGGCGTCTTCCCCACAAGCTGTAAGGCGGAGGAGTGAGTGAGTGGGAGATGGCAGTGATGGGAGGTGGAAAGAAGGAGAGGATGCCATCTAAAGTGTCTTTGAAAAGAGTTGTGAATTCAGACTGAGCAATCCTGACATCAGAGTCCTACACGGGATCCAGTTTCCACAGCAACCCGGGTCAAAGGCCGAAAAGGGGAGCCATCTCCTCCAGTCAGAACTCCAATTGTTAAGTCTCCGAAATAAACAGCTGAAATGACCAGGAAGGGGAGGGTGAGGCTGCTGCAAAGCAGCTCAGTGTAGTGTTGTCAGCAAGATGTCACTAATTGTCTGCAGGAACAGCAAACTCTCCGTTAACCCTTGCGGCACTGCTGCCAAGGAAGTGCACTGGGAGTCCCGCTTTCGGCCTCATAAATGCAAATTGCACTCCTCTTCTTCCCTGTTCCCCTCTGTCTCACCTTGCAAGGGTTCATCCCAAAGTTTGCAACCCGGAAAGGTAACGCACAGAATGGATACGTTTTCGCCTGTGCTTTGCAAGCTGCTTTTCGCCAGAAGAATGAAAGATGTCATCCTCTGTTTTTCAAAAGCAAAGCAGGGACAAGATAGAGGTTTGGCAACCTCTGATAGGTTAGACCCAGGTCAATGACATCCTTCCAACATTGAAAATTCTACACTCATTCTATATCAGAAACTTCCAAATTCCATACTCAGCACTGATTAAGCTGGCTTCTCCAGAGAGCGTCAAAGATTCAGATGAAGAAGGCAACGCATGGCTGCAACTTCCATCAGCCTCTGCCTGCTTAAACAAAGCTGAGGAATGATGGAATATGCTACCCACCAATCCATGGGGGACCAAGACTGTAAGTGTGAAAAGACTGGAGGTGTGTGGCAGGAAAGTACAAGGTCAGGGCACATGAGATAAAAAGGAAGAATAGAAATAATACAGCAAAGACCTGAATACTCACGCCTCCAGACTACCAGAGCTCCTGATTGCAACCTTATTTGCAACCAAAATGCATAAAACTAATTTTATTTTTTTAAAAAGAGGTGCAGAATCCTGAAAATGTTGGGATACCAGAGTTGGTGCTGGGCAATGGCTCCCAGAATTACAAGGTGAACCTCCAAAAATGTCTGAACAGGCTGCGTGTTTGTGCCTTCAAGTCGCCTGTCAATTTATGGTGACCCCATGAATTTCACAGGGTCCTCTTAGGCACATATTACTCAGAGGTGGTTTTGTCAATTCTGTCCTCTGAAATAATAATTAATTCAGCCCCCCCAGCCATCCCCCCCACAATTTTTCTTTCTTTGGCCCTTTGAAGCGATTTCCAACCTATGGTCCGTGGAGCCCTTAGGGCTTCACAAATCAAAAAGGTTGGGAACTCCTGCTTTAGGTATTAGATCTACACATAAGGCATCACCTGTACATCCCCAAAGTGTCCATTGTCAGGTGGCAGTTAATGACATGGCAAGAAGACATATATACTTCAGTACTGTAGTTGGTAGGGAGTGCAAGTGGAAGGATGCAGTTCCATTTATGTCCTACTTGTTGACTTCCATGAGGCATCTGACTGGCCACAGTGAGAACAAAAGGCTGGGCTAGACAGACCTTCAGTCTGAGCTAGCAGGATTACTCTCATGATAGGACAAAGCCCCAGATCTGACCTTGTGGATGGCGTCTGTAGTGATTAAGCTGGCCACATGCACACTGAGAGCATTTCTACAGACCTCATGATTCATATCAGGAGAAAGGATACAAAAGGCAGGTACAGAACAGCAAAAACAACTGGCAATGCACACCATTAACTTAGGCCAGACAGGTCAGCACTCCTCCAGCCATACATACATCAGGGCAGGGGTAATTTCGGACTGCCACCTCCATAACACTTCACCACTAGTTATGGTAGTTGGGGCTAATGGGAGCTATGCACAAAAAACATCTGGAGGGTCACAGCTGCCCACTCCTGCTATCAGGTAGGACTTGTTGTCTACACAACTTAGCTCTACATGTTCATGTCAATTTTTTTTGTCTGAAAAGATGCACCTCTCCAGATGATCAACCAGCTACTCCTCTGGAGCTTGAACACTGGCTATGCTGACTAGAGCTGATGAAAAGTACAGGCCTTAACATCTGAGAAATGAAGATTGGAGAAAGGTAGTCTAAAACAACATTTCTAATACATCCAGCCAGAGAAAGATGTATTCGTGCAGGAGACATGTCTCCATTTATGTCAACAAACATAGGTACCTACTGGACAGCAATAACTACAAATAATACATTTCCCTTACCATATGTGAACCACATGTGGAACCAGAGTCAAATTGACAAGATCACAGAAGTTACAGGCAATCTAGTGTAGTCAATTTTATCATTCCATTGATTTCCACTGATATAGAACAGTGGTTCTGAAACCTGTGTACCTAGATGATGTTGGCCTACAACTCCAAGAATGTCTGACCACTGGCCAGACTGACTATGGGCTTCTGATTGCTGACATCCAACTGCTGTAGAAGAAAGAATGCAATATGAATCCAAGTGTATTCCCTCCAAACACTTTGGAGTTACATGGGTTACCAAAAAACAGAACAGAGACTCTCAATGTAGCATTTCAATCTGAATTTGAGAATGGTAATTTTATGGACTAAAAACTCCATCAATTGGATTATGAGAACTGTAGTCCAAAAATGTAACTTTTCCAAGTTCTGGTTTAAACACAGTATATGCCTACCATTGTATGTACACACAGATGCTCAAACACACAGAGCATAACAGTGAAACAAATGCTATTGAGGATGTGTGTTTTATTGGTTTTATGTAACATAAACTAAAAAGAATGCCAATTCGGCACTGACTATTTGTAGGAGTTTTACTGTGAACTTTTCTCCAATAACTTATTTTATATATGCATGATATAACTGAAGATAGAAATGCTATAAAACCATCTAAACTAGCCACCAACCCTCATATCTTGTGGCATGAAATTCAGTATATTTATTGGACGAATGACTCATGAAACAACTTGTGGTTTAAGTTCTGCTATCATAGTATAGTGGTTTAACATTGGACTATCAGTCTGCAGACCAGGGTTCAAATGCTTACCCAGCCATGAAACTCACTGGGGGTCCTTGGGCAAGTCACACTCTCTCAGCCTCAGAAGCAGGCAAAGGCAAACCCATTCTGGACAAAGCTTACCAAGAAAACCCTGTGATAGATTTGCCTTCTTGTTGTTCTTGTGTGCCTTTTAAGTCATTTCCAACTTATGTCAATCCTAAAATGAACCTATCACAAGGTGTAATGTCCAAGCAGGGATTTGAACCTTGGTCTCTTGAGTCATAGTCCTATACTCAAACCACTACACCAAGCGGGCTTTCCAGGTTCATCGTAGGGTCGCCGTAAATCTGCAATGACTTGAATGCATAAAATAATTATGTACACATGATGCTCATGACTCACTCAGGGTCGAGGGTGCAAGGGGGATATTTCATCCCTTTGCTATACAGTGCTGTGTCTTAACACTCTTTCCAAGGGATGGTGAACAAATGGGGATGGACTGCAACTACTATTAGACCTGGCCAACATAGTCAGTGGGCAGTTGCTGTCCAAGACCATCTTTAGGTTGACACATTCCTTATCCCTATTGTAACCAAAATGTCTCCATGAGCTGAAAGAAGCAGTGCAGTTGGCCCTCTACATTTGCAGCTTTGATTATTCACGGATTTGAATCGACATACACCACTCAAAAAACTATTGTTATAGACACCTGTCTTTCCTTTTCTTCATGGTCTCAATGTATCATACATGGGGTGATGGCAGGACAAATTGCTGAAATGGGACACAGCCCTCAGGAGAGCAGGGAGGAGAATACTGCCTGCCTAGATGAAGCAATCTGCTCATTTCCAACCATGGAGAGGTTTGGGTGACAGCCAGGATGAAGAACATCCAGTCAGAGCTGGGGTACCTGTGGTTCTTCAGCTGTTTGAGATTACAACTCACACAACCTCTATGTGCCATCTGGGAGCTGACGTCTAAAACGCATGGAAGGCCAAAGCTTCCCCGCCTTCCCTAAGAGTATGGTGCTCGATGAAGGTGGACAGCTGAGAACACAGCAGCCTGACACATGTCCAGGAGAGGCACATCTCAAAGTAAGATGACAGATGAGGCAACAGCTTGTGTAGGGTGGTGAATGTACATGAAATGCGTATATATACTAAAAGTTCCACTTGCTCAACATGCAGACATTCTGGCTAGCAAAAATGCCAGCTTTAGGGGCAATAGTATGAAGCTAGAGTTGGAGATAAGCTGAAATGTCTTAGACATTTGAATTATAGTTAGACTCCACATAAGCCCTGGAGCCACACATGACAGATAAAGGTTTAGGTGTCCCTTCATGAACTGTTTTAATGCCAGGATCTGGGGAGAAAAACAAGCAAACAAATGAAGAACCTTCAACAGGGGAGTGATTCACTAAAATAGCAACCAAATAAACTCTGGATGAAGGATATTGCTAGACCTCCAGACTTCAGACCAGTAAAAATAGCAAGACCACCTGCAACTGGAAAGTTACAGGGCTGGAGCTGTGAGAAGGTTCAAAATACATAGAGGGATTTCATGTGGTCTCAGAAGAACATCTAGTGGACACTATCCTCACTACACCTAGCATCTACTGTGTGTTCTGAGTGGGAGTCCAAAAGACATGTTGACCATTCCATGAGGAGAAGACATCCAGGTGGTAGATTTCTCCTAGTTCTGTAAGAAGAGATCTGACACCACTGGCATTCAGAGATATGGTGAATCAGAGGGTAGTGAACCATGGCTAATGGGGCTGCCATGGCATTACCAGGTGTATTCAGTCTCACTGTGCTAAGGAGCCTTAGTGTAGCACTAGCAATCAACAAATCAAGAAAATAATACATATGTGTCTTTAGCAAAAGGCAACACCTCCCTCAAGAATATGCTGTCTACATCTACACTGCTGCAGAATCAGCTATACTGGAGTCCAGTAAGGTAGAAAACAAATGCACCTGCAGCATCCCACCTGGACCCCTGAGCTGGAAAAGACAGTTATCTATTCTGAGAACTGACAGGTGCAGCTCTGAGAGTTGCCTTTGCCTTTCAGGTGCATCTTCTGAAGGGTACCTGGCAAAGTATGCACCACTACCAAACAGAGAACAATTGACCCACAACGTGACCCGCAGTGATAGCACTGTGGCATTCTGAACCATGGAGAGTACTTCAAGAGACTCCAACACCCTTATGCTAATTGTTATCTCCTGTGCTAACTAGAATAATGGGGATCTGAAGAGGTTCATTCACAGTTAAGACCTCCATCCTATCCCGGATGCCAAAACAAATAAGATAAAGCAAAAGGAAGCCTTCAAAGAAATATCTGGATGGACTCTACAGATAAGTGAGGCTCAAGCCAAGTCAAACAAGCATACCTGAGGATCTGCACTGTGCCAAAACATATCCATGGACCTGTGTTGCAGGATTCTCATATGCACTCAGAGGGCAGTGGCTTTTAAAGACTTCTGAAGGTTTTTAAAGACTGGATGGCCATCTTGCCATAGTGCTTTAATTATTCCTGTATGGCATCAGGTTGGACAAGATTAATATTGTGATCCCTTCCGATCTATAATACTATGAAGGGAGTCACTGCTACAGTGGCTGCCAATGACCTGAGAAGTCCTTAGATACATGCTGCTGAGACTCTTGTATGCTAGTGCCAACACCACCATAGCATGATGGCAGAATCTAGGTGTCCGTAATATACTGAAATTATCCTGACAACATGAAAGGGCAGTTCATTACAGAAGCTGAATTGAGCCAGGTTTTGGACTACAAATCACTTCCACTGAGCATGAGCAATGGTAGGAGATTATGGTTGCTGGAAACCTAAACCATAGGTGGAGTGCCACATTACCTACTTTAGAACAGTTCCCCAATCTAGTGCCCTCCAGATACGTTGGATTAAACTCAATACAATTCTCAGCCAGGGGTTATGGGAGTTGTATTCCAAAACATCTGAGAGACATCAGATTGGGGAGGGTTCCCCAAAACTTGTACCAGTAAGATGAGATGAGTGAGGTGTGGGGGGGGAATGATTCCCTCTGAAGATAGAAAAAGAGCAGTGGTAGGGTTAAACAGAAGTGAATTCATAACAACAGGTGAGCAAGTGGGCACATGGATGGGTAGAAC